TGAATCATGATGACACATGCATGAATCCTAGCTACTTACTCATAAAATTACTTTCAACTTTATAAACACCAACTATTAATAATTAGCGAATATAATCAAAATTTAACTTAGGGCCCTATTCCATAATAATTATCTAAATCATCTAACGCAATTGTATTTCTGTCATTCATAAACTTAATTAATGATAAAACTTTATTTTATAATGACATTGATTAAGTTTTTATAATAGTTACTATTCAACAATTAATGGTTATCATTATTATTATTATTACTATTTCAACTTTTAGATATATATATATTGTTGGGTTGGAATAATAATAACAATATATATATGGGTCAAATAACTTTTTACATCTGATTTGACCCATCATTGTTCGATTTCGTCCATGTATAATTTATATACATGTTCACGTGACTCCTTCATTATTAATAGTAAATACTAATAATATAATTTTTAACAAACGACAACATGCATAGACATTGTAGTGCATATGTTTTACTCCATTTTCTTTACCCTTTTAATTCATTTATTTATTAAATGGATAAAAAATAAACAAATATTGCTGGGAGAGTCATGCATTGAGTTCCATGAATTGATGATAACTTATTTAAGTGTATAATGGACAAAGATTCTTCCCTTATATTAAATTATTAATTAATAATAATTAAATTTGATGATGACAGAGGTCAAATTGATATGCTTGTATAAGTACTATTGAGTCAATGTCTGAAACAACACGATTTCCAAAAACCATATATATATAGGATTATTATTATATAATTTTAGTGTTGTTTGGGAGGGTTAGTAAAAACTAAAAAAAAAAAGCATGAGTGTCTTAATTAGTTATAAGGTTAATTATATATATAGTTAGCTACCTAGCTTGGATTTTATTAATTGTTACAAAATGGAGAGCGAACCTTAATTATATATATGCATATGTTTGTGTATATACATATATATATAAATCATGTTAGCTAGCTAGGGAATAGGGATATATATTGAAAAGTAGTGTTTGATCTTAAATGCAGCAGGTAAAAGAGAAGTCGATGAAGAGGAGGTTAGTATTGTCATTACACGTGCACCAGGCCATGTCCATGTTGGGCCCGTATTGGACACACACACTGCAGCAGATCCACATCAATCCTCTATCACAAATTTTCATTACTACTTATTAATTGGGCCTTCATGCATTATTTGCTCCTGCTTAATATTTAATTACTGCTGTACGCCACATATTTGATTTATATATGACCTCCAAAATTATTAGTTAATTTTGTTTTTTTAAGAAATACTTAATTGTCACATCCAGCTATACATGAGCTATATATATGAAACCTAGGTACTTAGAAATATTGTTTGTAATATAATAAGGGCCGGGGGTCCTAACTTTTAAGAGATGTGAGCAAATCTTTTTCATATGCTTCGAAATTTTGTCATTGTTGTTTGTCGAGTTATAGATCATCAGAATAATAAAAAATATGAATATGCATGTGAATGTGGGGGACTCGTGACAATGAATTGGCATTATTAATATATATTTTAGAATATTCCAAACTATATATTTATCAAAGGCAAGTTATAAATTGTGGCCGAGACAAAAAAGAATCATACATATCTACTGCACACATTTGAATACAAGACAATTTTTGTACATCAAAGGGTACGTATGGTTCAATTCTTCATCAACATGCATGCATGCATGGTGGAGAACTAGTATAGGTAGATCAATCCTATTCTATTACAAGGATATATATATAGCTACTAACACCTTTTTATTGTTCAAAACCCACTCGTGCGGCCGTGGCTAGCTCTCTAACAACTCAACACAAAGCACAAAGCACCCATAAACCCTAAATCAGACCAGAACGACTTAGTAACGTAATTAGGTTACCGCGCTCGCCCAAAACCCCAAAGTAAACCTCACCAAATTTGAACTCTCTCACTCGTGTTTCCCTCACTCAAATGTTTATCTCACTTGCTCAACATAAACTTGAAACTAGGAAGATATTCAAATTTTGTGTGTGTGTTCTATCTATATTTCTCTGACATAAATGTTTGTTATATTGATGAAATTAAAAATAGAAGTTGTCTCTAAAGCAGAGAACAAAAACGGTACAACAATCGTCATAGTCGTCAAACAAGTCACGTGTCACTGGAAAATGCTAAGGTGCATCCAATGCGGTGGTACGACCATAAGAGAGACATAAGAAAGATTAGAAAGCACGCGGGTTCAGGAGAGAGGCATAGGTAAAATACATCAAGTGGACGGTTTTGATCAGTTGGTGAAACTCAATAATGGCCAGGATCGAATATCTAAAAGTCTTCCAAGGGTTTGACCGAACAAGAGCCTACTGTGCAGTTGGGCTTGAGTTGTTGGGCCGGCACAAGGAAGATCGGTTAATGGATTGGATTAAAAGTAATTGGGCCAAAATCCAATTAATGGATTGAGTTGTACTCCAAAGTTGAAGGAATAATATTGGAATATGCTGAGTTTAGGTATTGGGCCTACGAGTGTACTATTTTGCTTACCGATCCAGCAAGAGATGGATCCACTAAACATATAAATATTAAATAGTCGTGCTATTTTCCCCACTTAAATTGCTCAATCCGCCACCATTTCCAGTACAATACATATTTGAATTTAAGAGAGAGAGAAGAAGAAGATTGTAGAGACAAGTTTTGGGACATTTTCTGCTTATTACTCTCCTCTTTCAACATACAGCAAACTATTTTGTCAAAGTCGAACATATGATCAAATTCCGGTCGGCGCAGAGTTTCTGTATCCAGTGCCACAGACACTGTTCGAGCACCGCCGCGCCAACCTCTTCTCAAATCGCTTATTATGTCCGCCTCGGACAAATTGAAACTGCACGAAAACTGTTCGACCAAACTCCCGATAAAACTACTTCCTCATGGAACTCTATAATATCCGGATACTTTCACAACAGCCAGCCCAATGAAGCACAACGCTTGTTCGACGAAATGCCACACAGAAATACTGTTTCTTGGAACGGATTAATTTCTGGATATGTAAAGAATGGGATGATAAAGAAAGCTAGACAAGTGTTCGACTTAATGCCTGAAAGGAATGTCATATCCTGGACTTCCATGGTTAGAGGTTACGTGGAGGAGCGGATGATTTCTGAGGCAGAAGCATTGTTTCGTCGTATGCCAGAGAAGAATGTTATTTCATGGACAGTTATGTTAGGTGGACTTATCCATGAAGGTAGAATTGATGATGCAACAAGACTTTATGATTTGATGCCAGTAAAGGATGTTGTCACTAGAACTAGTATGATCGGTGGCCTATGCTCCAATGGTCGTTTGGAAGAAGCACGAGAGATTTTCGATAGCATGCCGCAGAGGAATGCAGTTTCTTGGACGACAATGATCTCGGGTTATGCACAGAATGGGAAGGTGGATGTCGCTAGGAAACTGTTTGAAGTAATGCCCGAAAGAAACGAAGTTACTTGGACGGCTATGCTTATGGGTTACACTCGATGTGGGAGAACAGAGGATGCGTGGGATCTTTTCAAGGCTATGCCAGACAAACCAGTTACTGTTTGCAATACAATGATCATGGGGTTAGGCGAAAATGGAGAGGTCTCCAAAGCGAGGAAAGTTTTCGACTTGATGGGAGAAAGAGATGATTCAACATGGAGTTCCATGATTAAGGTTTACGAACGAAAAGGTCGTGAATTGGAGGCAGTTAGTCTGTTCCGTTCGATGCAGAGCGAGGGGGTAAAGCCACACTTCCCTTCATTAATCAGCGTTCTTTCGGTTTGTGCCAGTCTTTCCACTCTGGATCACGGTAGACAGACACATGCTCACTTGATAAGGTCAAAGTTGGACGATGACGTATATGTGTCCTCTGTTTTGATTACCATGTACATGAAATGTGGTGATGTTGTCAAGGCCAAAATACTTTTCGACAGATTTTCTTGCAAGGATATAGTCATGTGGAACTCTATGATTACAGGCTACGCCCAACACGGTTTGGGAGATGAAGCTCTACAAGTGTTCAGAGACATGTCTTCGTCAGGCATACAAGCAGATGATGTGACATTCATTGGTGTTCTGTCTGCTTGCAGTTACAGCGGAAAGGTAAAAGAAGGGAAGGAAGTATTTGATTCGATGAAGTCGAAATATAAGATAGAGCCAATAACTGGACATTATGCGTGCATGGTGGATCTGCTTGGCCGAGCTGGACAACTGGACGAGGCTATGAAGTTAATTAACGAGATGCCTGTAGAGGCGGATGCAATTGTTTGGGGGTCTTTAATGGGGGCGTGTAGGAACCACACGAACAGTGACATGGCAGAAATAGTTGCTAAGAAACTTGTTGAACTGGAGCCCAAGAACGCTGGTCCGTATGTGCTATTATCGAATATATACGCATCGAAAGGTAGATGGGGGGATGTAGATAAGGTGAGGAAAAAGATGAGGCATAAAAAGGTGAGCAAGTCACCTGGTTGTAGCTGGATTGAGGTGGAGAAGGAAGTGCATATGTTCACAGGTGGAGAGAGGACACCGCATCGGGAACATAAAGAGATAGTGAAAAAGTGGGAGAAGCTAAGTGGGATGTTGAGAGAAGCTGGATATAACCCTGACGGTGCGTTTGTACTACATGATGTGGATGAGGAAGAGAAGGTGCAGAGTTTGAGACTACACAGTGAGAAGTTGGCTGTGGCTTATGGACTAATGAAGTTGGGTGAAGGGGTGGCTATTCGAGTAATGAAAAACTTGAGGGTTTGTGGGGATTGCCATACTGCGGTTAAGTTGATTGCGAATGTGACTCGCCGTGAAATTATACTTAGGGATGCAAATAGATTTCATCATTTTAAGGATGGCTTGTGTTCTTGCAGAGATTATTGGTGACTCACTTTATTTATTCAATTAATGTTGCTCTCTATCTCATTAATTCATTTTTTTTTTCAAGCCCTCTCCTCTGTTTTAGTTGTATATCTACGCATAACTGAAAATCTCAAGACTTGAAAATATTAAATATTACAAATATAAGATATATTTATAAATTAATATAGGGTAAATTACAAATACCCCCCTGAGGTATGGTCAAATTACAAAAACACCCCTCTTGTTTGGATAATTACAACCACCCCCTCAACTCCTCAAATTTAGTGAAATCTTCGAGATTATATGGAATATTATCACTTTTGTACCCGTTTTATCTCATTCAAACTCTACATTATGAAGCAAGATGATCATAATATGTGATTTTTAGCTTGTATATATCAGTTTTTTGTGCATCGGAAACTATATTTTTACACAAAACGAGTACAAACTAGAGCAAATTTCACGGAATCTAGACGATTATGTTGAATTTGGCACCATAAGGGTGGAGGTGTAAGAAAAAATCATAGTTGAGGGGGTAGATGTAATTATCCAAACAATAGGGGGGTTTTTGTAATTTGACCATACCTCAGGGGGTGTTTGTAATTTACCCATTAATATATATTAAATACATATATGTTCGTAAATTGTGAAATGAAAATAAAAAAAATAAAAATAAAAACAGTTGATGATAGGCAGGCAGAAGAACGTACCCATTTGCTCTCGTTGGCCGTCGAAGCTTGAATCCGTCACACCACACAGTAATCTGAAAGTGTTCGGATAGCTTCAATCGTCGAGCAGCCGGAGTTGGAGATCCTTCACGGCGTCACTAAAAGGTCGCCGGCGACAGTGACAGTCACGGGAACGGCGCCGATTTCAGGTAAGGGTTTCGTTTGTTTTTTTCTCAGAGAGAGAGACAGAGAAGTTTGGGGATTTCCTTATGAAGAAACGCTTTTCCAATTTTTAAAAAAAAATCGCCACAAAGCCGTTTGGAAACTCATCCTAGTTGCCGTGTCCGTGTAACGAAGACAACGTTGTTAAATAAATAAACTGATTTATTATCATGCAATGGCATACAAGATCGACAGTCAAATACATAGCCGATCAGTTGAAAAGATGTGCGAGCTTGAAGGAGGTGGAATCATGGTATGGCTTGTTGTTCAAGACCAACACTACTCAAGATTGCTTCTTGATGAATCAATACATCACTGCTTGCTCCAACGTTCACAGTTTAGATTCTGCAATTTTTGCTTTTTCCCAGGTACATAATCCCAATGTCTTCGTCTACAACGCAATCATCGGAGCCTTTTTGAACTTATTTCGACCACTCGAGGGGTTGCGGTATTATGTGGATATGTTGAGGAATGGGTTAACTCCAACTAGTTATACATTTTCGGCATTAATTAAGAGCTGCAGAGTTTTATCTGTTGTGGGATTTGGTGAAACTGTTCATGGCCAGGTTTTGAAAAATGGTTTGGCGCTTCATGTTCACGTCCAAACCTCACTTGTTGATTTTTACTCGAGTTTGGGAAAGGTAATTCAGTCGAGGAAGATGTTCGATGAAATGACTGAAAGGGATGGTTTTGCTTGGTCCAGTATGATTTCAGCATATGCCCGTGCTGGGGACTTGGATTCTGCGAGGAGTGTGTTCGATGAAATGCCGGAAAAGAATAATGCCTCGTGGAATACCATAATTCATGGATATGTGGAAGCAGGGAATGTGGAATCTGCAGATGAGTTGTTCCAAATAATGCCTAAAAGAGACGTGATTTCTTGGACGACCATGATTAATTGCTACTCCAAACACAAACTATATAGGGAGGCTCTAGAACTTTTTGATGAAATGAAGCGTACTGGAACTAGACCCGATGGCGTAACAATGGCAACGGTAATATCTGCCTGTGCACATCTTGGTGTACTGGAACAAGGGAAGGAGATGCATCTCTATGTTATGCAAAACAGGTTCAAAATTGACGTTCACATAGGATCTGCTTTGATTGATATGTATGCCAAGTGTGGGGTGCTGGAAAGAGCACTTGTGGTGTTCTACAAACTAGAGGATAAAAATCTCTTCTGTTGGAGTTCTGTGATTGATGGCCTTGCAGTTCATGGATACGCTGAGGAAGCTTTAGCAATGTTTGACAAAATGGACAAGGAAAAGATCGAGCCAAATCGCGTTATCTTTGTCAGTGTTCTTGCAGCTTGCACTCACGCGGGATTGGTCGAAGAAGGCAACCGAAGATTTCTCGAAATGACTAGTAAGTACTCCATCCTTCCCGAAATCGAACACTACGGATGCATGGTTGACCTTTTATGCAGAGTTGGTTTAATAGAAGAAGCACTAGTCTTGATAAGAAGCATGAGACTGCAGCCCAATTCTGTGATATGGGGTGCTTTATTAGGTGGTTGTAAGCTTCACAAGAACTTAGATATTGCTCGAGTTGCTGTGGACAGATTAATGATATTGGAGACAGATAGTAGTGGTTATTTCACCCTTTTGATTAACATGTATGCTGAAGCGAATAGATGGGCTGACGTTGCGAGAATTAGGGCAATGATGAAGGAGCGTGGGGTGGAGAAGATATTGCCTGGATCGAGTTGGATTGAAGTGGAAAAGAAGATGCATCAGTTTGCGGCTTGTGATAATTATCATCCAGCATCACAAGAGATTTATTTAGTGTTGGATGTGTTGGATTCTCAGCTTAAGCTAATTGGCTATGCACCTGATTTTGATTTTGTCATGTAATGAAAATTGTGGTAGCTTAGAACAACCTAAGATCCCATGTATTCTGAGTTGGCTTGTATAATTGGTGATGTGCAAATGCATACTTGTTTCATAGTTGGAACATCATTATAGCTTGGTGATGACATCTTCTCCAAACTGACTTTTCTTCCGTCGCAGGTACGATTGTAGTGACATGTAATAAGGGTTTTCTAGATGCTGCACCGGATGCACTACACCTGGTATTATTTATATCAACCCTTGGATCACACACACACACACACACACACACACACACACACACACATGTGGAGGTGTGTGTATGATGGATGGATGTCCGCATTGTTTGTGATGCTTATCACAAAGGTGATTTAGGAGAAGAAAAATAAGAGGCATGATTATTAGTAATTGAAAGAGTGGGAAGTGGAGGTGTAATGAAAGACAGGAAAGAAACATTGCCCCCACAATTATGTACATTTCAGCATGCCTCTGTCTCTCACTTTTCAAACTCTATCATCTTCTCTTTTATCCTTTTCTCTTGTTACCACTGTATTAATTCTTGAAGATCCTTAATGGACAAAATTAAGTTGATTGGGAGTGAAATAAATAAAATCCTTGGACCACTCTCCATTTATTAAAGCAATTGCAAAATTTGTTTTTGGCATTACAGAAGATAGAAACAATATTATTATATATTATGATGGTCCGGGCAAGAAATACAGACTTACATTTGAAAAGGTTGGCAGGAAAGAGTATAGTAATACTAGGATTAAGGCAGTTACTGTTAAATCATAAAATGTTTGTCGGGATCCGAGGTGGGTATTTTCACAGCAATTAAAAGAAAGGTAACAACATGGAGTACTCTCTCTCTCTCTCTCTCTCTCTCTCTCTCTCTCTCTCTCTCTCTCTCTCTCAAATTGGTGTACCATCTCTCTATACATATTACATATACATACATGATAGGCAACTAGAATTTCCAGCTAAGCATTCTCTTCTCTTGTTTCTAATTGTTGTGCCTTTTCATGGAGGTTAATTCATCGTCCCTCAAATAGGGATGTGCATTATTTTCATATTTTCTGACTCGGATCTATTCTTGAAATAACCACTCTTGTCATCTCTTTTTCTTTCATCACTAATTATAATCTAGGCAGACAGGCCTGTAAGAATTTCTGCATATCTTTACTACATGTCTGGTTTTTCTTTCCTCATTGGTTGGACTCTGCTGCATAAGATAAGCTTCAACAATTAGAATTGCTTTTGTTGTTGTTTTCTGCAAGAATAGTGTTTCCTAGAGAGTTGATAAGAAATTCTTCGGGAGGAAATATTTCTTGTCGTCATCATCAATTAGCACAATCTGGTTGTTTGAATTAATAAAGAAAATCAAAGAAAGAAACACTTGTTTTGTATAGAACAAAAGACAGATATGGAGGAGTTGTAAGTCAGTGGCAGGGGAAATGAAGTGTTGATGAAAGAGGAGGGGAGTTTGATGAGGGTTTTGTTTTGCAAGATCCACTCTTCTTTCGTCTGCTTCTGCAAACCTGGTAACGCACATCTCTACAGTTCATCATTGAAATTGGAAAATGCTCCAAACAAAGAAGTTGTTCATTCAACATTTGTTGGTGTGTCGTTATTATCTTCTGAGAATGGAGTACTAGTCAAGAGCTGCATGAAGAAGAAGAAGATCCCTTATGATGGCATTGACAACAAAGAAATAGGAAAGAAGAGAGTGCAATGGATGGATAAATTAGGCAAACAACTTGCTGAGATCAGGGAGTTTGAAGCCAGGTGCCTGCCCTACTTTATCTGTTGTTTCTTCTGTATTTCATTTACTTGTTGACATTGAATTCTTGATTTATAGTGAAACAGGTGGAGACAAGGAGAGTGAAGAGGAAATCAGCCGCTGTATTTGCATTATTCTCTGACTCCACGGAGCAACATTTCCTATCCAAATTACAACTTTGCAATTCTTTCTAAGCTTTTCACACTACCAAATACATCATCATTCAATCTGCTGTAAGGAAACTTATGTAATCAGTTTTCTTATCTTTGACAAGGCAAAAAAGTATTGGACATGAGTTTGAAAGAAAAGGTAATTGAGTAGATAGGTGCCCACAATCTCACCATTCATTTAATTTCCCACTATATATGAATGATAATGCTGTTTATCTAGATACATATATTATCAACACAAGATTTCAGGTTTGACCAAGACCATCTTAATTCATTCATTCTTGGCACTATCTATATTTTGCCATACCTACAAACCAATTCAAAGGGCAATGTAGTGGATGGTGGGGGCAGCCTGGTTTCCCACTGCCGTTGGATAATTCTTGACATTATTAATACATACTGCTCCTCCAAAACTTGCAGGAAAAAAACAAACACAGAGAGAGAGAGAGAGAGAGAGAGCCAAGTTCTTGTTTAATTATCATGGCTATAGTTTTTATCCTTGCATCACTGATAATCCTAGTCCTACTTGTCAATCTCACCATCAAATTCACAAGAATATTATCAAGAACAAAGTCCTTGAATCTTCCACCCGGCAGCTACGGATGGCCGATTCTTGGTGAAACACTCGAATTTCTTCGTGCTGGTCTAGATGGTACACCCGAGAAATTTGTCAAAGAGAGAAGCGATAAATATAAATCGCAAGTGTTCAAGACTTTGTTGATGGGAGAGAATATGGCCGTTTTCTGCGGGGCCTCTGGGAATAAGTTCTTGTTCAGCAACGAAAATAAGCTTGTTACAGTTTGGTGGCCTAGCTCTGTCAGACAACTTCTCGGACCATGCTTAGCAACCAGCGGTGGAGATGAAGGCAAGCAAATGAGGAAGATGGTTTCTTATTTTCTGGGCCCCGATGCTTTCACTAGGCTTTACATCAAAACCATGGATTTAGTTTCCCAGCAACATATCAAGAATCACTGGCAAGGTATAGTAGTTTCATTACATTCTTGTTTCTTTACGGTCCTTTTGTTCTCTGAATGAATTGCACCCTCTTCTCTTCTCTTGTTTTTTTTTTCTTTTTTTCTCTTTCTTTTGTCATGGTGAAGGTAAAGAGGAAGTAAAAGTGTTTCCAACGAGCAAGTCTTACACGTTTGAACTCGCGTGTCGACTATTTATGAGCCTAGAGGACCCGAAGCAGATATCAGAACTTGCTGCTCTGTTCAATATTTTCTTGAAGGGTATAATATCGATTCCTGTGAATTTCATGGGAACAAGATTCTACAATGCGAAGAAGGCTACT